TTTAACAGGTAGCCAATGTAGGGAAGCTAAGACAGGAGAGATATGATCTCTCTTTTTAATTCTCATCAGAACTCTAGCTGCAGCATTTTGGACAAGCTGAAGACTTTTAACTACATTCTGTGGACTTCCTGAGAGTAATGAATTACAGTAATCCAGTCTTGTTGTAATAAATGCATGAACTAGTTTTTCAGCATCACTCCTGGAAAGTATGCTTCTAATCTTAGCAATATTCCAAAGGTGGAAAAAGGAAATCCTACAAACCTGTTTAACTTGGGATTCGAATGGCATGTCCTGGTCAAAGATAACACCAAGGTTCCTTACTTTGTTCTTGGAGATTAATGTAATGCCATTCAGGTCAGGTGATTGACTAAGCAATTTCCTTTTCTGGATTTCTGGTCCAAAGATGAGAAATTCCGTCTTGTCTTAATTTAAAATTAAAAAGTTTAGAGTCATCCAATTTTTTATGTCCTCAAGACAAGCCTGTAACCTAACTAACTGATTAGGTTCATCAGGGTTAATGGATAAATATAACTGAGTATCATCAGCATAACAGTGAAAGTTTATCCCATGCTGTCTAATGATTTTACCCATTGGGAGCATATATATATATATATATATATATATATATATATATATATATATATATATATATATATAAATATATATATATATATATATATATATATATATATATATATATATATATATATATATATATATATATATATATATATATATAGTAAAAAGAACTGGTTCAAGCACTGAACCCTGTGGTACTCCACAAGTAACCCTGGAGTATGAAGAAGATGCCATGCCAAGAAGAGGCCATGAGAATATCATTTGCAACTTCCACTAATGCAGTTTCAGTGCTGTGATGCTCTCTAAAACCAGACTGAAATTCCTAAAACAGATCATTAGTGTTTAAATGCTCACATACTTGGATGGCCACTATTTTCTCCAGGACTTTGGATAAAAATGGAAGGTTAGATATTGGTCTTAGTGATGGGAATTCCGGCTCTTTTTAGAGAGCCGGTTCTTTTGGCTCAGCTCACCAAAAAGAACCGGCTATTTTGGCTCCCAAGTGGCTCCTCAGATTTTCTGTTGCATAGAGTACATTTATAACCAAAATAATGCTAAACTATATGTAAAATAATTTACTAATGTAAAAAAAGCAATATATTAAATATTTATCATTTCTATGGATTTAATAACTGAACACTAAGAAATCTCCACTTTCCGACTGCTGGCGCTCATTTTCTCACCGTCTTCGTCATGCTCTCCTCCCTCTCACTCGCCTTTTTCCTCCTCCTCATTCCCTCTCGTCTCCCTCCTCCCCCATGTGCTCTGCTATGTGTCTGTCTGAGTATGATCCTTCCTCTTCCCTGCCCCTTCTGCTCTGTGTGTGGACAGTCTGGACACACAGTTACACATGTTGACCAATCGCCTTTAGCTTTCACCAAGGCAGGGGGGAGGGGGGAGGGGAGGGGACGGCTCCCAATGACGAGCCGGCTCCCGTCGCTCAATTCAAAGAACCGGCTCTTAGAGCCGGTTCGTTCGCGATCGACACATCACTAATTGGTCTATAATTCATTGGGTCATCTGGATCCAGAGAAGGCTTCTTAAGTGAAGGTTTGATTACAGCAACCTTAAAATCCTGTGGTACACATATTCATTTACTAAAGATAGATTGATTATATCTAGAATGGGGGCAGTAACCAAAGGAAATGCATCTTTAAATAATTTGGTTGGGATTGGATCTAAAATGCAAGTTGAACCTCTAAATGGTGTGAGAGGATCTCTGCTCAATAACATCAGAGAAGGAGAAACAGCTGGCTGCTACCACTTCAACTTTAGAACAAACTATCAGAGTCCCAAAAAGAAAAACACCATCTGAAGTCATGGACAACAAAATCTGTTTGCTACTGGTGTTTAGCACTATCTTGTTTTCTGTGGCAAAGCGGGTTCCAGTATCAGGTGGATGTGCTAAAAATAGCTACTGCTACTACTGCTAGAAACAAACAAGCTGAAAATGTTTTATCTTTACTGGTCTCATGATTTAATAACAAAAAAAAAAAAAGATTTTTCACCTTATTTTAGAAACTTTGCAGTTTGAGGACTTTCATTCAAACCCACTGAGATTATTTTGAGGACTTGGCAGATACTGAAATAATCCCAGGATTTGAAACATAATTGGATGGATTTGCAGGTGTTTGTGATGTTGTTCTGGGTCATGTGACATGAAGATTTCTTTTACTCTACTGAAAATGGAGCACTCTCCTCTGAAGCTGGTGCCAAATCATGAGCTCCCTAAAACCTCTGCAATTCAAGGAGTTGTTTTGAGTCGATTCAATTCTAAAGCTGCATTTTCTCTGCTTGCGTAACAACAGGTTAGAGTGATTTTACGGGACAGCAAAACCTTAAAGATGGTGATTCCATTCGTCCAAATTTTAACGTCTCTAATTTAGATTTGAAACAGAAGTTTGTCAAGAGTAAAACTCAGTCTACACTGTAAGAAATTAAACTTTAAATTTACTCAACCAATTTTTGCCAACTGGTTCCAATAATACTAGTTGCTTAAATGTAAAGAGTAACATACATTTACTTATAAGCAACCAGGAAACAGCAGAAAGCATCTCAGCTAGTATAAGCTAACTGTCAACATTAGCAACTCCACCACATGGCACAACTCCTCCAGGAATGTGTTATTTGTGGAGAAAGTCAGTGGCAGAGTCTCATTGCTGTTAGTCAATCAGTGGCAACATTTCCAAATATCAGGAAATAGGACTCCTCGTCTGAGACCCAGTCCTAATACTCACACTGTGCCCTACGCCCTTCTGTGAAGTGCACTTTGAGGAGGTGTGTAGTAAGGCTTCGAGTGTGTAGTACACACGAGTACACAAGTGTGCCAAATTGAGACAGCGAGCATTCTGTCATTGACAGAGATGCATGCCCGGATGCCAAAAAATCTTTATTAAAATTTTTCTAACAATTATTTAACAAAAGTTTAAACCTTTGCTTTTCACATTAAATCCTAGTCTAAAATATTCAGAGCATGAATAAACATCATTCATTGTCTTAAAGTGACATTCTTTCATCTGAAAATACATATTTTCTGAAAAGGCACTTGAGCCATTGCTCAGCCTTCATCTCAAATTTCCCATGCAGCAATGGATCATGGGTAATACACTTAGCCAAAGTCTGCATCGATGCGAACTTGGGTGAAGTGAGGATCAAGGGTGCAAAAGGGGTGTGGTCACCCTATGCACTTGCACCACTGTCTGGGAACATGCAAATGAAGGGTGCAAGGGTGGAGGTGTGTGTATTGGGATTGGTCCTTGTACTTCCTGATTCAGGCGCATCTAAGACCCCCCACCTGCTGAAAACAACTTAAGGTTGGTTTATGCTTGACGCGTCCGCGAGGTCCGCGTGGCGAAATTGCATCATTTTAACAACCACGCCCCTCCACCGCACCTCTGCACGGCCCAAAGTTTCCGCACCGCTCACCTAGGAAATTTTCTAACCACGCGGACGGTCGGACGCAGAAAAGCATGGCGGACCGGCAAGAACTAGTATGTGTTGTAGTGCGATGTCTATCACTACCAATGTCTATGTGGGTGGAGTTAAAGTCCTTCAATAAAAAGGAAGTGCGGGTTCCTCCTCCCCTCTGTGTGCGCGTGTGTGAAGCTGCAGGTGGCGTCGCGGGGCGCTGTGAGCTTGTTCATGCACTGGGAGAGTTGAGGACATGTGCACGTGTTCTGTAAAGTCGTGTCATTATTTCACTAACTTAGTTTAAGTTAAACGGCAGCTTCCAGTGTGAGTAGAAGAGGATGTCCACTCCTGCTGAGGCTGAGGCGTCGGGAGCGACCGACCAGAGACGGAGAGATGCACCCGCTGGCACGAGTACAACAGTATGGCAGAGGTTCGTAAATACAGACATTTGTATGATTCAGCTCTCAGAGATCACCGTGATCAACATGTTAATAATTCTTGGAGAGAAATACCTCGCACTGTCGGAAAAGACGAGGACGCTGTTAAAAAATGCTGAAATGCCATGTTGTAAACAGTAATTTCTACTTCTACTATGGTGTAGTGTTGGATGCATGCCGTAGAGCTCCATGCTGCCCCCTACATTTTGGGAGAATATTGTCTCACCACAGAGACAAGCCGCATGAACCATAAACGCTGCGAGTTGTGAAGCTCGTTCCATCCGCGAGCCGCATCACCAAGCGGAAAGTGAATGCGTCAAGCATAAACCAAGCTTTACAAGGCCTTCATTCCTACTAGAGACCACCGCAAATGTATTTATTAGAGATGAAAGAAAATATTGACATGGTGATTTTTTTACTGCGATATTATATTGAAATTCAAAAGTCATGTATCAAATTTTTGGAAGGATTTTCATGCAAACATTTGTGTATTTTCTGGTTTTTTTTTTTTTTGGGGGGGGGGGGGGTAATTCAAATGCCAACCAGTAGTTGGCAGCAGTGTGCAATGGGTTTTGTTTTCACCACTGAAATGTAAATCCCTCTATTATGGTTCAGATAGAGCATGTTAAACATGCTACATTTCAGTTTGGACTGTTTGTTGAATTTCCCTACAATGAATTCAGTCTAAAAAAATTGCTAATAGTGTCTGGCTGAGTGTATCACAATATATCACGATATATTGTATCTTCTCCCCTGTATCGTGATACGTACGTATCGTATCGCCAACACACATTCCTAGTATTCATTAAACAAGTGATCTACACCTTTAAGAGACCACGTTTAGTGGACCCAGTTGACCTAACTTGGTTAATTCAATCAACATTTAATTTCTTACAATGTATATTTAACCCTTTTGGGATTTTTCTTGAACAAATAAGCAGATAAGAGGAAAGATGTGGGCCAATAAATCTTCCTGGAAAATTGTGCCAGCAACAGTTTTGACCAGAAGCTGTTGCAGCCTGCCCTCTAGTGGCCACATGGTGTCACATTTTATTAAAAGACAAAAGGGGGAAATCTTTCTAAATGTTTTATTTATTTTAAATCAAATGCAAATTAGGCATTTACAGTAAAAATAAAAAATTAATCTGAGCCACTGACAGTAAAAATGTGTGATATTTAAAGCAAAGCAGAATCATTACATGACAGCTTGCATCCCCTCTGATTAAAGCTTTAATGTTGTTTGAGCAGCCAGGTGGGGGCGGGGCCTCCTACAGAGACAAAGTAGTTCCACCACCAGGGCTTCTCCGCCCGCACTCCCTGGTTCTGGTTCAGCTCAGCCATCATGGTGTACTGCACATACTGGTTATAGGGGTCAAACCGCTCATAGTTGCCCGTGGAGGGGAGGATGTTGTCAGCTTCCTGTGAGCCAGAGTCTGGAGGAGCTGTCTGCAGCACAAAGTCCACTCGGCCTGCCTTCTGCATGCGTGGCAAGTGCACCTTCTTCGTGGATCTGGTGTAGCCAGGAGCAGAGGCAGCGACAATGTGGGTGCCTGGGGTGAGGAGGCGCCAGTAGTCTCCATTTTCAGCTTAACAGAAAGAGAAAGACTCAGTATTTGGACATGCTGAAGGCATCCCAAGAGGTGAAAAGAATGATCTAAAAGGTGTAACACTGACTCAGGACAATCATAAGGTATTATAATTACAAGTAATACATATTATTAAAGGAGTTTTGATGCTGTGGCTGCAGAGAGGCAATCATGACCAGTCCCTTTAAAACGGTTCTTGGATGTTATTCATGTGACTGAAAACTGATAATTACAGAAAATGTAGCTGGAGTTTTAAATAACAGAAAAATATTTTAATGAACCAAATAAGAACCAACTACGGTTGTGTTGTTTGAGTCATCTTCCTTCCAAGTAGCCAGACTCACATATAAAATGATTTTAAATTGTCTCAGTCGTTTGTCTTTTAGGCTTTCTGAAGATCCGCCAAGTTTTGACTCTGTCATAGTTTTCACCCAGTTTTCTGACAATTGACTATTTATAGAGAAATGTTTGTTTATTTATAACTTTTCAAAATTGTATATACTTGATTGATCATTTAGTTTTGTATTTATTTACTTGATTTATATATAGTTCTGTAATATATTTGATACAATTTATATTTTATTTGTTTAGTTTGTCTGTTTTTATTAGATTTAATAATTTTTAACTGTGTATACATTGTATTTAATTTTCTCGTCTCGTCTCGTCTTCCTCCGCTTATCCGGGTCCGGGTCGCGGGGGCAGCATCCCAACTAGGGAGCTCCAGGCCGTCCTCTCCCCGGCCTTGTCCACCAGCTCCTCCGGCAGGACCCCAAGGCGTTCCCGGACCAGATTGGAGATGTAACTTCTCCAACGTGTCCTGGGTCGACCCGGGGGCCTTCTGCCGGCAGGACATGCCCGAAACACCTCCCCAGGGAGGCGTCCAGGAGGCATCCTGACCAGATGCCCAAACCACCTCAACTGGCTCCTTTCGATCCGGAGGAGCAGCGGTTCTACTCCGAGTCCTTCCCGAATGTCCGAGCTCCTCACCCTATCTCTAAGGCTGAGCCCGGCCACCCTACGGAGGAAACTCATTTCGGCCGCTTGTATCCGCGATCTCGTTCTTTCGGTCATTACCCAAAGCTCATGACCATAGGTGAGGATTGGGACGTAGATCGACCGGTAAATCGAGAGCCTGGCTTTCTGGCTCAGCTCCCTCTTCCCCACGACAGATCGGCTCAGCGTCCGCATCACTGCAGACGCCGAACCAATCCGCCTGTCGATCTCCCGATCCCTCCTACCCTCACTCGTGAACAAGACCCCGAGATACTTAAACTCCTCCACTTGAGGTAGGACCTCTCCCCCGACCCGGAGGTGGCAAGCCACCCTTTTCCGGTCGAGAACCATGGTCTCAGATTTGGAGGTGCTGATCCTCATCCCAGCCGCTTCACATTCGGCCGCGAACCTACCCAGCAAGAGCTGAAGGTCAGAGCTGGATGAAGCTAGGAGGACCACATCATCCGCAAAAAGCAGAGACGAGATTCTCCTGCCACCAAACTCGACACACTCCACACCACGGCTGCGTCTAGAAATTCTGTCCATAAATGTGATGAACAGAACCGGTGACAAAGGGCAGCCCTGGCGGAGTCCAACCCTCACTGGGAACAGGTCCGACTTACTACCGGCTATGCGGACCAAACTCACGCTCCTCTGGTAAAGGGACTGAATGGCCCTTAACAGAAAGCCACCCACCCCATACTCCTGGAGCGTCCCCCACAGGGTGCCCCTGGGGACACGGTCATAAGCCTTCTCCAAATCCACAAAGCACATGTGGATTGGTTGGGCAAACTCCCATGCCCCCTCCATCACCCTTGCAAGGGTATAGAGCTGGTCCACAGTTCCACGGCCAGGACGAAAACCACATTGCTCCTCCTCTATCTGAGATTCAACTATCGATCGGACCCTCCTCTCCAGTACCTTGGAGTAGACCTTTCCAGGGAGGCTGAGGAGTGTGATCCCCCTATAGTTGGAACACACCCTCAGGTCACCCTTCTTAAAGATGGGGACCACCACCCCGGTCTGCCACTCCCTAGGAACTGCCCCCGATGACCACGCAATGTTGTAGAGACGTGTCAACCACAACAGCCCTACAACATCCATAGCCTTGAGATACCCAGGACGAACCTCATCCACCCCCGGGGCTCCGCCGCTGTGTAGTTGTTTGACTACCTCAGCAACTTCTGCCCTCGAGATCGGACAGTCCATCCCCAGGCCTCCCAGCTCTGGTTCCTCCTCGGAATGCGCATTGGTGGGATTGAGGAGCTCCTCAAAGTATTCCTTCCACCGTCCGACTATAGCCTCAGTTGACGTCAGCAGCTCTCCATCCCCACTGTAAACAGTGTGAGCGAGTTGCTGCCTTCCTCTCCTGAGGCGCCGGACAGTTTGCCAGAACCTCTTTGGAGCCGATCGATAGTCTTTCTCCATGGCCTCACCAAACTCCTCCCACGCCCGAGATTTTGCCTCGGCAACTGCCACTGCTGCACCCCGCTTGGCTATCCGGTACCTGTCTGCTGCCTCCGGAGACCCACAGACCAGCCACGCCCTGTAGGCCTCCTTCTTCAGCCTGACGGCTCCCCGAACCTCTGGTGTCCACCAGCGGGTACGGGGGTTGCCACCACGACTGGCACCGGCCACCTTACGACCACAGCTAGCAACAGCCGCCTCGACAATCGCAGAGTGGAACAAGGCCCACTCGGACTCAATGTCCCCCACTGCTCTCGGGACGTGGTCAAAGCTCTGCCGGAGGTGGGAGTTGAAGACCGTCTTGACAGGTTCTTCTGCCAGGCGTTCCCAGCAGACCCTCACTATGCGTTTGGGTCTGCCAGGTCTACGCGGCATGTTCCCTTGCCATCTGATCCAACTCACCACCAGGTGGTGATCAGTTGACAGCTCCGCCCCTCTCTTCACTCGGGTGTCCAAAACATACCGTCGCAGGTCAGATGATACGACTACAAAATCTATCATCGACCTGTGACCTAGGCTGCCCTGGTACCAAGTGTACCGGTGGGCATCCTTATGTTCGAACATGGTGTTCGTTATGGCCAAACTGCGGCTTGCACAGAAGTCCAATAACAAAACACCGCTCGAGTTCTGATCAGGTGGGCCGTTCCTCCCAATCACACCCCTCCAGGTCAAGCTGTCATTGCCCACGTGAGCATTGAAGTCCCCCAGCAGGACAATGGAGTCCCCTGATGGAGCACTATCTAGCACTCGTCCCAGGGACTCCAAAAAGGGTGGGTACTCTGAACTGATATTTGGCCCATACGCACAAACAACAGTCAGGACCCGTTCCCCGACCCGAAGGCGCAAGGAAGCTACCCTCTTGTCCCCCGGGGTAAACCCCAACACACAGGCAGAGAGTCTCGGGGCTAACAAAAAGCCAACCCCAGCCCTCCGCCTCTCACCCGGAGCAACTCCAGCAAAGTAGAGTGTCCAACCCCTCTCCAGGTCTCGGGTTCCAGAGCCAATGCAATGTGTCGAGGTGAGTCCGACTATATCTAGCCGGTACCGCTCAACCTCTGCCACAAGCTCCGGCTCCTTCCCCGCCAGCGAGGTGACGTTCCATGTCCCAAAAACTAGTTTCCTTGTCCGGGGATTGGACCGCCAAGGCTCCCGCCTTGGTCTGCCACCCGATTCACATTGCACCGGACCCTTCATGTTCCTCCTGCGGGTGGTGGGTCCACAGTTGGACGAGCCCATGTATCCGGTTCGGGCTGGGCCCGGCCGGGCCCCATGGGCGAAAGCCCGGCCACCAGGCGCTCGCTCACGGGCCCCAACCCCAGGCCTGGCTCCAGGGTGGGACCCCGGTAACCCTCCGGGCCGGGTACTCCGACTCTTCGTTTTCACCGCCATGAAAGATCCTTCGAACCGTTCTTTGTCTCACCCTTCACCTAAGACCAATTTGTCATGGGAGACCCTACCAGGGGCACTAAGTGCCCCAGACAACATAGCTCCTAGGATCATTAGGGCACTCAAACTCCTCCACCACGATAAGGTGACGGTTCAAGGAGGTGTATTTAATTTTCATTTTATTTTATTATTTGTTTAGTTTGTCTGTTTTAATTTTATGTAATTAATTTTTTATTATGTATACATAATTTCATTTAAATAAAATTAAATTTATTTGATTGCTTGTTTAGTTTGTCTGTTTTTATTAGATTAAATTACTTTAACTGTGTGTGTGTGTGTGTGTGTGTGTGTGTATACATATATATATATATATATATATATATATATATATATATATATATATATATATATATATATATATATATATATATATATAATTTGATTTTCATTTTCATTTTATTTATTTTATTATTAGTTTAGTTTGTCTGTTTTATTATATTAAATTTGTTTATTTGTTTAATTATGTATATATTATTTTAATTTCATTAATTTGATTGTTTAGTTGTGTCTGTTTTGATTAGAATAAAAAAATTTCCCTTTTTTTATTATTTAGTTGTGTAAATATTTACAATATTTTTTTACTTTATTTTTTGGACTGTTTGCTTATTTCATATAGTTTTTTTTTAACCTGGTAAGACCCCAACAACAAATCTTTTACATGGACAATGTACTCGAGCAGTCGCTTCACCCGGCATGGACGCTAAAACAATCAGAGGTTACAGAGGTGGAGTGATGTAGCTGAACTCTGACCTTTGAGTCATTCAGCTATAAAATGACACCTCAAATCAAAACCTAAAACCCCTTTTATTTTACTTTGTAGTACTACATGATAGATATGTTTATTTTAACTCAAGAAATCCTAAAATAATTAGCAAAAAAATGAAATTCAATTTAATGAATTATCAAAAATATACAATGTTTTTAAATTTGTAGCTGAAAAAAATAAATAAACTGAAGTTTAAATGAACACAATGGAATCGTAATCTCCAATAAGCTTTAAAACCTGAGATTAGAGTTAACGAAGCATCTCTCAGCTCCAGTTTGAGATGGATTTACTTTTCTATTCTTGAAACATTCACATTCTATTTATCTGGATCATTTTAAACCCTGAAATTTCCTCAGTAGTCCTAAGTTTTTTCCCTTTTCCATTTTAAACTCACTCTGCACATTGTTTTCATCAGATTTAGAAAGCCCGGAGAACTAATCATCACGACCACTTTTAATGATTCAGTCTGGAAAGGTGAGAAAGGTGAGTCTCGTCGTTACCTGAAGTGACGTCGTGCCGTATTCCTCTGACAGATATCCGAGCACCTTTTATCGCATTTCCTTCCTCATCATTCACTATTCCTTTGATACCTCGATGAGCCTGGTCAGCAACATCATCAGTTAGTTCATCTCCAGATATATCCAAAGGCCAACGTATTACGCATAGAGCAGAAAAGCTTCTCTCACTGCTTCCATGAAGGACAGCAGAGCCTCTTGGTTATCGTGCCAGCTAAGGGAGAGATCCTCCTCAGGAGGGATTTTATCACAACCCAGCTCCACGGTCACCTCAAAGCAGTTGGTGTGAAGATAGTTGAAGTCCTGCATTCCTGATCAGAGACAAGAACAAAACCCAGCTCACATCATATCACAGAGGCCTCTAGTGACTAAAATTACAATGACTGACCTCCTGTGATGCTATACCACTGGGCTCCATTAATGGTCCCCTTCTGGCTCTTAGTAGGAGACAATCCACATCGAGCGTTTTCATTGGACATTGTTTCGTGGGCATTTACATAAATTCCTGCCAGCAGTTTAAAAACCTACAAAATAAAAGCCACAGTTGATCATCTTCTATCACATGAACTTACATCAGATACTTCCTTAACCCACTTGGTAGAGCGCATTTAAGTCCATGTTTTTTATTCATTAGTATGCCAGAGCTGGGGAAATTAATACATTGTTACCACAAAAAGCAATGAAAACAGATATAGAAATGTAGGGTGTGTATAAAATAAATGGTAACTGTTTATACACTGAGTTAAATTATAATAAAATAACATTATGGATCTTTAAAGTTCTTAAAGAAAGGCCATGAACAATTATTGTGACCAGTGACCTCAGTTTGGAGAAATGGAGAAGAGTTCTGACTGGACTGATGAGCTAATAGCTAGTGTGAGCAGGGCAACAACCAAGGTAGATTTCTAGAATTACTCCAGCTTCAAAAATACAACTATGTAGACATTTAATACGGAAAAATATTACATGTTACAAGGTTAGTTAGCAAGAATTCAGCAAACAAGCTAGCTAGCTGGAGCACTTCCTGTTGGGATTTGTTAAAAGCTTCTGTTACGGAAATTACTCGTAGCAGTGCTCAACAATTATGAATATTTACTCCGGCAAAATGCTGTGATATTTGAGCGCTGCTACGAGTGTTTTCCGTAACTGAAGCTATTTTTGAAATTGCTGTACTCCCCTTTAGCTAATTTAGCTTGTCAAATGAACCTGTATTATTCCAAGTTGAAATAGTTATCTATAAAATTAAGATATTAACAGTTAGAAATCATTTACAACCAGCTGCATCATATTTGCAATTGTCTGAATTTTGTACAGGTCTCCTGCCTCCTTGTGGAAGTTGTAAGCACTGCAATACTTCACCTTACATTATATTGTACATTTACCTAAAGCAGTATTTTCAGTAATTATATACTTGTTATATTGACATGAGCTGCTAAAGGGATGGATACTAAAGCTTTAAAGGGTTAATATTATCAGAGGGACCAAATGCTACAGATCAGATCTATTGCTTTAGGTTACAGCTGATAAACGTCACAAATAAACATGTTTACTGAGTGTTTTGTTTGTTTTAGTGAGTGTTGTTATCAAAAAGCCCTTTTACTTTATCGTCTGGTGTTGGGGAGAACATGCTGTGTCCTAGAGGGTGTTTGGACAAGTCGTAGGGGTAGGACACCAACAAGTCCCCACCATGGAAGTTGGCAGAAAGCACAAACGGGATGGAGCGGATCCACTTCATGACAGCATATGTCTCTGGTGCAACCTGGAATTCAGCAGCATTTAAAATTATTTTGTTTAAAGTCAAAGAAGTATACAGAAACGATGACATCTTTTAGGCCATTATGATCACTCTGTACCTTACCAAACCAGTAATTATCTGGGATTGAGATGTGGTCGGTGCGGAAACCCTTTTGTCTGCGTCGGTTGTAAACAATTGTCGTCAAATCAGGGAAGTTTCTGTTCAGGTCGACGTTCTGGGCGTTGTTTTGACCAGTGTTCCAAGAGCTATACTTGTACCCCTGAATAGTGTTAAAAAATATGTTTCAGGTACGTAAAAAACTGAAAAGTCAATGATTTAAGTCTTAAAGTCCCAAAGACTGTAGATTGTTTATCATCATTTACAAAGATATCACCAACATACTGATACCACACCAATAGTGGGAACATTCACACAACCTCCCCATCCCTCAATCGTAAACACAACCTTGAGATTCTTAAAATGGTCCACTTCAGCTAGGACCTCGGCTTTGGCCCAAAGGTGGAAACCCACTCATTTCTTGTTCAGTTGATCCACTACTGTGAACAGGCAGCGCTGCCATAAAAGCAGCAAAGAGTTTCTAAGTCTGGATTTCCAAACTGAGATGTTGGTGTGCAAAAAAATTTGCAAGCATGAGGGAATAGAAAAAATGGAGGGCAGTTTTTTTTTACATGTGACGCAAGTGGTCGGTGATCCTTTGGCCCCTAGAAGGGGTGAGACATGTGTCACTTGGAAGGCAAGATCAAACAAGTGTATTGTGTTAGTTTCAATCTAAAAAAAATCTATTTTGCAATAAAATATATTGATAGGTGTTTTGTCTGTTATTTCTATCTGTATGACTTTGGGTGCAGAGTAATAAACATGGAACCTTTACCTCATCAGCATCGCCGTAGTTGTTCTGATTGGATCCAGACATGGCCACCTCATATCCATCAGGGTTCAGGGAGGGCAGGATGTGAATGCGGGTGGAGTTGATGAGGGTCTGGATGCGCTCATTTCCTCTAAGATACTCAGAGCAAAGATACTGAGCCAAGTAGATGAGCAGCTGGCGGCCCAACACTTCATTCCCATGCATGTTTCCGATGTACTTTATCTCGGGCTCCACTAAGCAGATGAGCATTTATAGTGAAACTGAATCAATGTGAGGAAGAGGAAGCAGAAGTGGATGGGTTGTACTCACGCAGCTCGTGTTGTCCAGGATTGTTGGAAAATTCAATCACCAGCAGCTCCCTGCCCTCCATGCTGCGGCCGATGCTGTAGGTTCTGGCGATGTCGGGACATCGACCCTCAGTCTCCTTCAGGGTGCTGATCATCTGAGGGTTGGAGTGGTAGGTGAACTGGATCGCTGTTCCAGGTTTTTCAGAGAGTGGAGCTTCCATGTCCTGGAAGGCGTCTCCCTCTCTCTCTGGAGGAAAAACATCAGAATTCTACCAATTGTTTATGCAAGATACACACACACACACACACACACAGACACACACACGCACGCGTGCATGCGCGCACCCACACAGACACACACACGCGCGCACGCACACACACAGGCACACGCCTGCACGCACACACACAGACACACGGACGCACACACGCACACATGCACACACACAGACACGCACACTCACGTTATATAGAAATGGCATATTCAAAACCAAAAAGCATAACGTTTCTTTTAAAGGTCAATTGTACCCATCGACATAAAAATATCAACATTGCTCCTCTGGGGGCAAGTTGAAGCTAAAAACCGGAGGTTTCCACCACTGATTTTTGAACGAGTCACACCCAAGAAATCCAAAAATGGGAAAAGAGGTGGAGCTGAGGGTAACGCTGTTACGTTTGGAACAGGGTTGGAACAAATGAAACCAATGCAGCTACAAGCTAAGTTAACTAACCCAAGAAGCTAAGAAGGGTCAGCCCACTCGCACGGCAGACCGGCTTCCGTGCGAGGCTGCAGTCATGCTGGTTGCCTGTGGAGATCTAATAGGCACTGGGACTCTCAAAATACAACCAGCATGACTACTGCCTCACATGGGAGCTGGTCCATGTGTCGCCTGCCCCGGGAAACGGGAACAGCCAGCCGCCTGCTCTAGCAACTCTTCTTGGGGAGGAGACAGAAGACGAGCATCCACTCAAGTTTCTTATCCAGCAGCAGCACCACTGACATGCTTGAGCAAGCAGTTACATGACACAGCATTTCCCCCATTTAACCAGCTAAATTAAGTACAGAAGTATAATTTTACTTACTGATAAAAAGAAGCAGAAACTGCTTGGATGACCTGTTAGTGCAGTCAATAACCACAGCTTGCCCTCTTGTCTAAATAATCCCTTGATTAACATCCAAACAAAAACACACAGACAAAACAAAAATTCAGAGAGTCGAACAGGTCCAACATCTATTAACGTGAGGCCCAGGCTGAGGCATTTCCCTGGAGCGAGCTCTGAAGTCACGTGGCTCTGATGCGCATTAATTATTCATTCCTTTAAAGAGCAAGTCACCCCCTACCAGAGTCTTTTTCCACTCACGTCCTGCTTGAACATTTAAACAAATGCTGTTGCCTGGCTGACAGAGAGGGCAGAGCTGCTAACAAACACACACACACACACACAGGTTCACAACGATATTGTGATATCATATGGTACCAGCTAAAGTCATAGGGTACCTCTAACCCCAAAATTCTACTATCTCCGCTCCGTCCCCGCCCTCCGCTGCCGCTCGCTTCCGAACTCAAACTATACTGGTACCCGCTCTACAACGGCTCCGCTCCGGTGCGGAGACCTGAGGTGCGCAAACAGGCATGCGCGGGATTTTCGAGATCTTGCGATACAGTCCGAGCAATAAATGCGGATGTTAGATCCAAACACCCGTTGTGTGGGAGAAGCATCGAAATGAACTGTTTAATCTGCCCATCATTTGTGTTGAGGGATCAGCAGTGTTTGGATCAACAAAGTGTGACTACTTTGATAGTGGAAACTGTATTTATGGCTTATTTTTGAGCATTAAAGTTCAACCGCCATTGATAGTTGTTAAAAGTTATTAAACCTGTGCATATAAAACAAAAAACGCTTTTTGTTTATCGATTTATTGTGAAAAAATGGAAGCTGTGCTTGCTCCCTTTCCTGTTGGGCGGTTGTGATTTCTGTCCATTGACTGCGGAGGTGCTCTGGCGTCCGGCAAAAATAGAATCAATCCTATTTTTGCCGGATGGCGGAACGGCGGGCGGCGCACTGCGCCGCACGGCCACAGTAGTGGAACAGCTCTGATTGACTACAACGGGACCGCTTTTGCTGCGGAGTTCGTGCCGGAGCGGAGACAGTGGAATTTTGGGGTTAGCCAATAGCAATGGCTGGTTGAAATTCAAATGCAGTGCAGAGTTCGTACATGAAGAGGGTGCAACACTGACAGCTTTATTCTGAATATTTAAATTTTAACTAAGATGCACTAACATACCAAATTATTGACTACACGTGTCTACAACATGGTTAGACACTCTTTTATACAGTTTATCAGCAAAAATAGGTTGATTTGGGGGTGACTTGCTCTTTAAGCATTAAATTCCACTTAAACAGAAGAGTTACAAAAAAGTCAGCCCCCTCAGAGTTGCCACGATTGTAAACTAGATATAAAAAGGGTTTTTGAGCCAGGCTGTAAACATGTTTATTTCTGCCGTGAAATTGGCGTTTTTAACATGGGAGTCAATGAGGATTTGCTCAGTTCTGGTGCCAGCCCCTAGCGGATAAGGGTGGAACTGCAATTTTAGCCCCTCCTTCTTTGCTTCAAAAAAATGTAGACCATAATGGCCCTTGGTTGCAGTGTTGTTTTTGTTAATAAAACGATGACAAATACATTTTGTTGACGGCGACGCCCCTTTTTGTCATAACGAAAACGAGACACTGACTAAAAAAAATAGCTCTTCGGTGACTAAAATATAATGAGAGTAACTGGAGTTAACGAGACAAGACTTGACAAAAACTACGCCCAAAATGCTAATTTCTGGGGGGGCTGTTACGTTTGGAACAGGGTTGGATTACATGAACCAGTGTAGCTACTAGCTAACTTAGCTAACCCATGTACCCACTCTCCTCAGACGCCTCTGACACAGAACTAATCTGCATGAGACTGCCTCAAGGTCATGCATTTGCTTCTAAAACTTCTCCTTTCCAGCACAAGAGAAGAATGAAGACAAAGGACTCTTTCTTTTTAATAAATCAAAGAACTCTTTCTATTTTTAATAAAGCTAATCAAGCAAAGTGTTAGTCAATAATAAGATGTTGACCAATCTGTGAAATGACAATGTTATGATTAGTAAGTTTTAATAAGTAATATGACTTTAATCTAGCTGCACTAGACATCCTGATCCACGTAATGTAAACACATGACACATTTTATCTTTCTCATCCAATCGGAACCTTCCTTTCAGAAGACTGGCATAGTCTCTGTGGTGTTTATAAATCTGTCAAACTTTGATTTGACCATAAATCAAAACATCCAGATTAATAAAACCAGTCCCCACGCCATCTTAGTCCAGTTCACCGCAATCTAAGAGAAATATCGGACTGGCCACCCTGACTTCCTTTTTAAGCAAAGAACCGACAAGCTGGATAAAATCTGTTGCATTTTACCAACCAAGCAACGGTTCCTTTCAGAATAAAAGCTGAACTCACTAACCCTCCGGGTCCATCTGACGCTGTCAACCAACTGTCGCTGTTTACCTGGAGACAATCCAAAGACTAGTCTGTCGTACTGCTGACGCTGTTTCATCAGCTCCGGTACCAAAGGGGGGTCAGAGGACCTGGCATTCTGGATCTATACAGAGGTCTCATTCTAAGGGTATGTGTGGAGCGACAACATGGTGTCTTATGTGTTTATGAAACTCCAATCATAGCTTAAGAGCAAAACATCACAACATCATTCAGACTTGCTTCTCTGGATACGAGAGTTCTGATGACAACATCACTCACACATACACTATTCATCTCACGTCTCACTCACACCAAGATCCATCCATTCACTTAGAGTTTAGAGTTAGTCTTGTTTAAAATTGTTTAGAAGTAAATCTTCTTAAACGTTTTAAAGGTGACTCTCTCTCTCTCTCTCTCTCTCTCTCTCTCTCTCTCTCTCTCTCTCTCTCTCTCGCTCTCTCTCTCTCTTAATATGAAGTGTTACATAATCCCTGCAATAAAAATTTCCAATCTTCTGGTTAAAAGTACCCAAAGATCCATAAGACTGATTTCACATTTTCTATGGAATCTCATGTCTTATGGTTCATTAAATAGATGTAAATTAAACCCTTACACCCAAGAATCTAAGAAGGGCTCCTTGGACCGGGGAAGTCCACCTACATGGCAGACTGGCTCCCGTGCGAGGCAGTAGTCATGCTGGTTGCTTGTGGGGATCTAATGTTAACCAGGACTGTTATGTATATCCTCTCATCATGCCACCGAAGAAGGTCAGATTTCTTGAAACAGACCTTGGATCACCAAAAGACGAGCATCAAGGTAACAAAACCATTGTTTTACAATACAGAACTGTTTTAAAGTCCTATTTCAAGTAGGGAAACATAATAAACAGAGAAACATAATAAATTAGGCTTCAGTTGCCTCCCCTTCTTGTCAGCTCATGGGTCGCCCAAAAAAAGAAAAAAATGAATGGGGCTGTAAAGGCTATTTCCTTATTCACTTTGCCTTGACTGACACATATGTTGTCCTTCAATTAAAATGAAAAGTAATTAAGTGTATTTCAACTATGTCTGTCACCTTATTTAAGAATTATTAGCTTGTAAAACAAATTGTAATTTTAACAACTACAAATTGGGGTGAGCAATAGAGGAAAAAACCATCAGTTTATTTTTTGCAAAATCACGATCTCAAATTAATCACAATTTATTTCCTATTTTGATAATTCGGACATCTTGGAAGTTATTTACCAGTAAAAAAAAACCCCCATCAATTTAGCATACCTATTCACAGAAATTAAGATCACTTTATATAAGTTTAGGTAAGAAAAATAGCAATTTTGTTTTATTACAATACACATGATAAAAACAAAAAAATGCCTGTCATTAAAAAATCTATTATGTCAAGTATTTATGCCAAGGTTCCAGTGCGTAAGAAATCAATGACATGAAATTAAATGTTTGGCTTGGTTTATTATTTTGTTTTAAACCAATTGTCTCGTTTCAGAAATGTTGGAGCATGGACCAAAAAATACTAAAACATATTTAAAAATCCCAAACTTACAATATCTATCTAGAGATGCATGTCTAAAATGTCTCACATGCACTTTTATTTATAATTAATCTAAAATAATTAAATCATATGTAGAAGTGGCTCATATCCTATCAGCCACAATATTACCAGTAATTATTTCTTGTTCACAGAAATAATCAATCATGTTTCAAAATCCATGATGCA